GAAGGGTCGAGGAATAGTGTCAGGAGAGGCTGCTGCCTGTTACAGGGGAAAATACATTCATATGAACCTGTTAGGATGTGCAGCCACTGTCTCTGTGTAGATTCATACTCAAGAAAGGAAGCAATGGCATGTTTCGTTTTAATATTCCTGCAAGCAATCTTTATTGTCTCCTCTCCACACTGGGGCACATTAGGTAATGCTTTGTACCTTGTCCCATCAAAAGAGAGGGGAAAAAACTGAACGTTCTTGAGAGAGGTGACAGTGTGCCTGTTATTAGACACCTATGGCCTTCGCTTCCACCTGTTCCCAGATTTTCCACAATAAGGCTTATTGCGTGTAGGATGCAGTAGATATTTAAGTATAAAATACGCAAACACTGTCCTTGAGATCCCGCTGTTTCCCTCACTAACATTCACTAGCGTAACAACCGCAGCTCGCCACCTAGTGTCCTCAGAGCCACGTTCAGTTTCTTTTTAGCCTGGATTCAACTTGACTAGCATGAAGTATTCGGCAAGCGGCTCGAAGAACAAGTCTAGTTTGATATTTATGAGAACAAAGTCACAGATAGTACTTTAGTATTAAAGGAAGAACGTGGAAATGGCTGAAATAACTGAGAACTTCAAAATTTAATATCTGCAGTACCAGGTATTCAAGTGTCTTGCATTAGCGCAGAGCATCTTTCTGTTCTTTATAGTTGGTTCAGGCAGGATCGTTGGGATACAGTTCTACGAAATCAGCAGTTCAAAAGTCATCATAACTACTCATCCATTAAGTACTCCGGCCCCAAATGCCAAATCTAATCACAATTTCAGACCTTACAGGTTCCAAGAAATAACAGGGATAGAAGATCAAGTTAAACAACATCACAAGGAAAAAGTCAGCCAAACCCGAATATGGACTATCTTTGTCTGTTAAAAAAAAAAAAAAGTGGGAAGACTATTTTAGAATAAAGAGATCAAAGAGACATAAGAACCAAATGCAATGAACGAATCTTGATTGGATCCTGGTTTAGAAAAATAATAAATATAAATTTTTTTTTTTAAACTTTTTATTGAAGTGAAATTCAAATCGCATAAAATCAATTCAGTGACATTTAGGACATTCACAGTGTTGTGCAATCATCACCACTATCCGATTTCAGGATATTTTCATCACGTTGAAAGAAAACCCTGTACCTGTGAAGCAGTCATTGTTCCCCATACCCCGCTCTCCCCAGCCTCTGGCAACTACCACTCTGCTTTCTGTCTCTATGGATTTGTCTATTCTGGACATTTCATATGAATGGAATCATCAGTACGTGACCTTTTGATTCTAGCTTTCACTTAGCATAATGTTGATTTATCTATCTATTCATTCATTCATTTTCTAGCTGCTTTCACTTAGCATAATGTTGATTTATCTATTTCTATATTCAACTATTTTTCTAACTTTCACTTAGCATAATGTTGATTTATTTATCTACTTATTATATTCATTTATTAACTTTTTATTAATAGTTTATTGTGTTTAAGGTGAAATTACCCAACAAATTAAGTTCCCATTTAACTATTTCTACACAAATCATTCAGTGATATTGGTTACATTTTTCACAATGTGTCATCATTCTTATTCATCCTGTTCTAGTTGTACTACTTCCACTATTCTAGTTTCCCTGCCCCCTTACCTTCTCATCTTTGCTTTAATTTTTGAGCATGTGGTCTCCTATAGATGATTTTTCTTAAAGAAGCTCATTGCTCACAGGTAATATTCTTTATAAGTCAGCCTGTTATTTGGCTAAAAGGAGACCTCAAGGGATAATTTTGGCTTAAGGTTTAAAGCGTATCTCAGGCAACAGTCTCGGAGTAAAAGTTTTTGTTGTAGGACAATCGTTGTTGTTAGCTGTCTTTAAGTCAGTTCCAGCTCATGGCGACCCCATGGTGCAGAGCAGAACTGCTCCATAGGGTTTTCAAGGCCGTGACCTTTCAGAAGCATATCGCCAGACCTGACTTCTGAGGCTCCTCTAGGTGGGCTTGAACTGCCAACCTTTCAGTTGATAGTCCAGTGCTTGACCATTTGCATCACCAGGGAGGGACTCCTGTATGAAAATCGGCAATTTAAATAGGCCTAGCATACAAGGAGGTTAGGGATTTACAGTGAATTTTCTCAGTATGATTACAGCATTGTATTTCTGTAGAACGCCCTTGCTCTTAGCAGATACACACTGAAGTACTCAGGGTTGAAGGTCATGATGCCTACAGGAAACAGATGTTGTTGTTGGTTGCTGTGGAGTTCGTTCAGATTCATGGTGGTCCCACCTGTTACAGAGTAGAACTGTTCCACAGGGTTTTCTTGGCTGTAATCTTAACGGAAGCAGATCGCCAGGCCTTTTCTTCCACGGTATCGCTGAATGGGTTCAAACAATCAAGCTTTAGGTTAGTAGTCGAGCACAAATCATTTTTACCACCTAAGGACCTAAAAAGAAAAAGAAAAAAAAGAAAGATAGCAAAAGGAAATATGGCAAAATTCGGGATGCTTACTGTACTCTACTTTTCTCTATGACTGAAAGTTTTCATAATAAAAAGTTGGCGTAAATGATGGTGATGATGTCATTTGATTTTTGAGAGGGGCTCTCAGAATTACCGAGACTCTGTCTTTAAACGAATCACTACTACATATTTAAGTTAGGAAGGTATCCCTGGCTGGAATAGTGCCTGCCCACAGCAAACCCTGAATTATTTGTCAGTGAATGAATACTGCTTTCTCTCTCTCTCTCTTTGGTTTTCTTTTTCTCAATCTACCGGTCTAGTGAAAATCGACATTTAGCCTTTAGCATCGTTCCAAATGCTTTGAAACCACAGCCTGAGGTGGTTTTCCAAAGATAACATCAATCAAAGAGAAGATTCTTCTTGTGGCTTGTGGTATAGTCAGCAGCATGCTAAGAGAGCCCATGGTTATTTGTATTGTTATGCCATGTTCAAAACACTGCTTGATTGTAAAAGGAAATCAATTCTCCTCCAGGCCCTGTATGAGCAGTAACATCGTTTATTGGTTGCTTTTTGTTTGACATAAATATCCAGCGGTCCATCAGCTCCTCTGATTTTGTTTTGAAATGTAGTCTGCCTGTAACGTTCATCCCTCCCTCCATGCCACCATCCCTTCGCCCATCTACCCACTGACTCAATGGCTGGGAATTATGGGGAAGAGGACAGGATAGAAAGTCTGATGCAACCAAAAAGTAGGAACGCACTTGTGATATTGTGAACAAGAACTGTAATGATCAGTGATAATGCAGGCAGGACGAAAAGCACATTATCCTTCTACAGCGGTGTTTCTCAAACTTCAACAATTCTAAAGAATTCACATTTTTTCTGCCATACCTGAGAATCATTATTAAAGGACTATTAACTATTTAATATTTTTTCTTAAATCCATTTGCTTAAAAAACAAACTTAAATGCCTACGTTGGTCTCAAACATTAAACCCATTGCCATCAAGTTGATTTCGACTCATAGCGACCCTATAGGACAGAGTAGAACAGCCCCATAGGGTTTCCAAGGATGTAATTGTTACAGAAGCAGAATGCCAGGTCTTTTCTCCCACAGAGAAACATTACTGGCTGTAAAAATCATGATTTTGATGTGCTAATTATATTTTTTCTATGACATATTAAAATAAATGCATGGCTAGGTGTCAACTTGTTATCCTGAGTGATAATTATAACCAATGATACGGGTACCACACTGTATAGGAATCTACCTTTCAAAAAGGATTCAGGGACAAACAGATTGACCTGAAAACTTTGACGCACGCACTTCAAATAAGCATAATTTTGCCCCTTTCGTCTGTTAAGGCCTTTAGCAGTAGGTCAGTGATTTAAACTGCTTTATAGAATTGATTTTCCAGGGACGAAAGGAAGAATGAATTCTTTGAATATTTTGCTGACTACAACATGAGCAGGAATGCTGGAAACTCATAGAGATCACATACCTACTAAGGCCTGATGAAAAAGGACTCTTTTGACACAAATATGGTATCTGCAATGCTCCTAAAAATTAGGTAACAAATGTAACATGAAGTTGTGGAAGATGTTTTATAGGTAAGGTTTAGGGTCAGTTGGGTTTTTTGTCAGTACTTTACAATTTAGTCCTAAAGAAATAGTACCTTGAGGCTGTCTCCTTGTCTCCCTTTCAATAAATCATGCTGATTTTCGTAAGCAGCTACTTTCTTGGTGCAGAACTGGGGGCGTACAGGCTGGTAGGTGTTTTGAGTCTAGTGTAGTTGCTCTATCCTTCATTTGGAGCCTTGGTGGAACAGTGATTTAGAGCTCGGCTGTCAACCGAACTGACTAGCCACTCCTTGGAAACCCTATGGGGCAGTTCTACTCTGTCCTATAGGGTCGCTGTGAGTCGGAATCGACTCCAGGGCAACCGGTTTGGTTTGGCCAAATATTGATTGCATATCTATTATAGCCAGTTGTTGGGCTGGATGCAGGGGAGACAATGGAAAGGAGGACAATGGAAAGGAAACAGCGGTGCCTGACTCATGGAGCTTCCAGTCTAGATGACGTCGAGTCATCTCCCAGATCAACAGAAAACTGGCTCAAGGAAGTGTCTGAGCCGAGAGCTGCTCGCCTAGAACAGGGAAAGAGAAAGAACAGCCAACACAAAGGCACCATCCTGTGGTGGTAAACAAAGTAGACAAGCACCAGTCCTTCAAGGAACTGAAAAAAATGCTTGAGTACCTGGAGCCTGGGGGCAGGTGACCCGGGACAACTGTCGGCCCTGCCATGCTGGGCCCATAGGCATTGTAAGGAGCTTGGTCTTTGCCCTAAGAGCAATGGGGAGCCATCAAAGGGCTTGAACTCCTCACCAAAATTGAGGCTCTATCAGCAGTGAAGAAGGGGGAAATGGGTATCAGGTACATAAGCATCATTGCTTGCAGAAACTTCCCAAGCACGACCTATCCAAAACAGAACTCATTATTTACCCATTCCCTACCTTCCCAAACTTGCTTATGGTCCACTGTTTTCTCATCTCAGTGAATGGCCGCATCATCTATCCGGTAGCTCAAGCCAACAATCTAAGCATCATCGGTGATAACCTCCCTCTTCTTCTTCCTCCCATATTATAATCCATGGCCAAGCCCTGTCCATTCCACTTCCTAAATATCTCTGGAACTCACGCACTTCTCCATCTCCACCACCATATTCATGCAGTCATCTCTTGCTTAAACTATTGCAATGATTTCCTAACTGTTCTCCTACTGTTGTACAATCTATCATTGGCCACAAGGAAGGGTTTCCTGTCTTTTTTGTATTGGTTGAGACTAAGCAGATTATAACATTCCTAAGTATATTCAAACTGGACAAAACGAAGTGGCTCAGGGGTGTTTTCACCTGGGGGAGGAAGCTGGATGTCAGAAACAACCCCTTGGGATTAACAGCAGGGAAGTTTGGCTTCTTGCCGTTTACCAAGTAGGTCATTTACCGGAATCTTGGAGGCAACCAATAATTCGGCAAATAACCTGGTCAGAGAATACTTCCCCTTTTCTGAGTGTAAGATACTACGTTAGGAGGTGTGGCAAAGTCCCAAAGGTCAGTGCCACGAATGTCTAAGAGAAGAGGTAGAACACTTTTTAGGGGCGGGGTCTTCATGGGTGTTTAGAACTCAGATGTCAGAGGCTGCAGGGACATCTCAAGAGAAGGCATCATTGTGCGAAAAGGCCTGGAGGTGTGAATGCCCACGGCAGCCGTCACAGAATTAGTCTGGAGTCAGGTAGGCGTGCGGAGTGAGGGGGGAATGGGGAATGCGGTCCCAACAGGGTGTGCCTTAAAAGCTGGACCGAGTTTAGATTTTATTCAGTATGAAACTGCCCCCGTGGAAGGCTTTTCAGCAACGAAAAGTTATTTGCGGTAAGGGTGTTTCAGATCAAAGCGAAGGCTGGTGGGTTAAAAAAACAAAAAAGACAAGGGGCGATGCTGCCATAGGGGAGGTTCTCAAACTTCAGTGCGCACCAGAATCACACTGTTAAAAGGAGAACTTGTTAAAAATGTAGATTTCTGGTACTCACTGCTCCCCGCATTTGGATTCCAGCGGTTCGGACCGGCGTGTCCGTTTTTGAAAAGCTCGTCTGGCAGCGACAAGGGATGACTGGGGAGTTTAGCTCTCATCGCCCATCTCCAGTAGCCCCTCCTGCTTTGATATGGAAAACCGGTGTCTCAATCTTACGTAAAGTGTTCTCACAACCTGACAACTACCCTCAGGCCCGCCCCTTCCAGGCCAGCCCGGGACCCCCAAGGAGTCAACGTGGCGGCGCCACTAGGAACGATAGAACGTGATGTTGCGAAGGGGCCCCAGGAAGCACGCGGCCGTCAGGGGTCGCCCATGCCGTAACCAGCAGCCCGGCATTCGACTGTCCGGTCCCCCAAATCCTGTCACAGGGACATCAGGCCAGAGTCGGGCCCCCACCCTGGCTCAGGCTGAAAAAACCCGCAGTCACAGCCTCCCTGAGTGGCTGGAGCGACCTGCCCGCATAAACCTCTAGGCGGGTCTCCATGGTGATTGATGGACGCTGTGGCCAATTATGTCCGGGCGCTTGTTTGTCCCCCTCCTCCAGCTTCCCAAAGGGACCGGATACTTCCCTGACGGATAGTTAGCCCCGAACGCTTTTACGTAAGGGGGAGGGTCAAGTGCGGCCCCACCCGTACGGAGCGGATTTGATTGGCAGAACGGGGTGCTACCGGCCAACGCCCCCCGGAAGAACATTTTTGACGGGCAGGTGCGGGAGCCATTTGGCGCCGGGAGGCTGGGGCGGAAGCGGCTGGGTGGGGGGGCGGAGCCCGACGCGAGGGAAGGGCGGGGTAGGGCGGGGAGTGGGTAGCGGCCGGGCGGCTGTGCGGCCGGCGATGCTGTCGGGCTGCGACGGCGCTCGGCGGCCGAGAGCATTGCGTTGAAGGTAACGGGGAGAGGCGTGCTGCCAGGACGTCTGGTAGGTAAACGAGGGTTGAGGAGGCCTTAAATCCTAGCCCCCAGCGTCCTCGGGCCCGGCGTTTGTCTGCCCTACCGAGCACTCGAGGCTCCGCAGCGACGGCGGCCGCGCAGGGACACGGGGACTGGCCGGGCACCTGTCCCGCATTTGCAGGCACCTGCTGCGCGCTGCTCGCTGCCAGGGCCTGGCACTGGGGGCTGCGGCGGGAGCTGGCCAGGGCTGGCCTGGAGGCGGACCCGGCCTGCTCGCCCAGTCTGGGGCCCGCCCTCTCCAGTCCAGTCCCTGTGTCCTCGCTGAAGGGGGCTTTCGCCGAGCCCCAGAGGCCCTCAGACCCCGCCAGTGGGCTCGCGGGCCCGGTCGGCCTCGTGGGCCCGGGTCGGCCTTGAGCCCGTCGCGTTGAGATCGCTACGAGGCCAGGATGTGGCTGGCCTCCGCCATGCAACACCTCGAGACAGGTTTGCCCAGATTCTCTGCGTGCGTGAAGACGAGTTTCCGCCCCGAGCAAGGGTGCCCGTCCGAGGCCGGCTGCCTGTTGAGGACCTGATGCCCGTTTTGGACTGGGGTCGTTTTTTGTCTTTCCCTGGGGCCCTGCGCCGTCGCCTTAGTGCGCCGTCGCCTCTTAGGTTGGAATTTCTTAAGCGTCTTTCAGGATGATGTATTAAGTTAATGCCTACAGAAGCACCAGGGCACCTGGGGGAAACAGCAATACTCGTCGCCAGTTTGGGCTCATGCGATGTGTAGGTCTCAGCTGTACAAAGGAAAGTGATCATGTTTTGTTCCTCTGGCTGAACCAGCAGAAATTCTAAAATTATTCCCAATGACTAGGGCGTATTCCTGTATCTTCCTTCTATCTGTGGCACTACTGTTGGAAAATACCCAAAAAGCACACTACCGTTTCTCATGGTGATTGTGTTGCTGCTGGAAACATTTGGTATAAAAATCTATCGCAAGGCTAGGCAGTAGTAGACAAAACCTGCTGCTTAAAGATAGGAGGAACTGGGGGCAAGTTCTAGACTCCAAGAGCCTTAAAGGCAAAGTCATAAAATCATAACGTGTTAGACTTGGAAGGGACTCCACAGGTGATTGGTGCACCCCACTACATTTACAAACGAGGGCACCGGGGCCCAAGGAGTAGGGGTCTTCTTTTAAATCAGGTCTGTCCAAGTCAAGAGTGTGGTGCTGTACAATACTGCTAGATCTGAAAACCAGTATTGTTTTCATTTGGGCCAAACACGAACATGCCCCTGCACATTTTTGATGTCTGACTACTCTCATCTGTGTCATAAACCCAATGCTGTTGAGTCGATTTGGACTCATAGCGACCATCTGTGTCATAGTCACCTTTAAAGACAGATTTGCAGAGAGCTGTTGCTGCTTATTGCATGTAAGTCAGCAGGTGAGTGGAAGAACCAGGCTCCTCATTCCTGTGATTTAATTACTGGGTGGCATCAGCTCTTGGAAAGCCATATGGCAGTAATAGGCACTCATGGAGTATGGGAGATCTGGTACCCACCCGTGGAGGTCACAGGCTCATCAGATAGAAAACAAATTATTGCCGATTAGAGATGTTTGGTACACGGTTCTCTGCTGATTGGCTTATGAATTTAGTAAAATGTTGCTAAATGTGACCCTTTCACCTTCAGACTTTTTATTGGTGTAAGTAGGAGGTCAGATAAGGAGTTCTGTTCTAAACATTAACAGCCTGGGAAGAAATCACCAGAGCAGAGAAGTTGCTGTTCTTACTGCTCTGCTTGGCTTCTTTTCCTTTGCCTCTTCCTTTGTATTTTTAGTAAATGACCTACTGACTTTGTGACCTTTGAGACATGTTTTCTTGTCCACAACTTGAATCTTCTTGGGGAAGATTTGTGCTTGTGCAGTATCTTTGTTGCACTTCTCTGTTGCATCTGTATGTACTGCTTGCCAGTTCCTTAAATGCCTAATCCTGCAGTTTCCATATTTTAGCAGTTGAAAAAGGCAGTTTCGTGGGAATGATCCTGACAGAACACAGTTATCCATGACTGTTTATCAAGATACGTATGCTCTACCCCCCTCTGCTGCTGCTTATTTCTTTGACTACTAGTTTCACTGGAGTCATTCTGTACTTAAGACAACTAATTTAAGATACTTTTAAATCAGCCACCTTGGATCGTCATCATGTGTTCCCATCACCCTGGCAACAGTGATACAGCTTTCGTGTATATGGGTACAGTGCATTCTGAACCTGTCTTTTCCAAGAGTTAAATGCCTAGATATTATGTTAGTAGCAACTGCTATAGTCCACATCTTCTGAAGTTTTGGCACCAAAGCCAGATTATCACTGAATATGCTGAACCATGGACAGGGACCCAGTTCACAGACTCCTGCAGGTATCTACAGTGGCAGGGAAGGGATTGGAGCTAGAAGAGGAGGGAGTATTGACAGAAACAATTTCTGAAGATGTCTGAAGACTTTTTCCCTCCCTAGATTTATAACTATATATTAGATACCATTTTAGTGTTATCTCTGTGTCAGATTTTATTTTCAACCATTTCAGAATTCTTAATTGTTGCTGGTGGTATGTTTTTCCCCATCTCTTTTTAAGGTAAAGTGAATGCTGAGGACAGGAGTTTGATGACCCAGACCACTGAATTTTTTTGTTTGGAGGACACGTTATGAACCCTTTCTGGAGCATGTCTACAAGCTCTGTACGCAAGGTAGGTACAGTCGAGAGGTTTAGTGAGGAAACCCATTTGCTTCTCTGTCAGAAAAGAGGGCCAGAATAGAGGCCAAAATAATTCGTACCAAAGTTGCCTATAATTTTTACGGAATTACCTGGTCTTTCTAGTTTAGGCTTCCTATAGAGAAATAATTATTTTGTCGGCTAAAGTTGGTTTCTGACACTGAGATTGTCTCTCCAATAGAAATCTTTGTGGTAATGTCAATGCTAAGATTATTTTGATCCAGTTGATAGGTACACACATGAAATTTGATACATCATGCTAGTAGGTTTTCTTCTAAACTGAAAGTTAGATTCCGTGTTTAGAGAAACCTTGGGAAAGGCTAGTCCAATATGGTCAAGTCAGACCTGAGGGCACTAGTTGAATTTTTCTAAATAAAATATTTTTTTGTTGCAAAAATAATACATTTTCACTTTAGGAAAGCGTAAAACATGCAGATAAGCAAACAGAAAATAACCCATAATTCCACCTCTAAGAGTACACCACTGTTGAACGTCTTTTTTCTATGCATATGCTATACATTTTCCACGCAGCTAATTAAAGTGCCTTTAGTTGTACGTGAGCCAAGGAAGCACCTCTGAGATGGTGGTTTAGCCTCTGACTTATTAGACCTTTGCCATGGCAGTTTATGCTGGTGGGTATGCCAGATGTGGAAACACAGCCATTAGGAACAAGATCAGAATCAGACCCAAGTAAGCAAGGGACCAGCTTCTTTCTTTGTTTCTAACCCAGGTGCTAACAACATCAGGTAGTGACTAATTTCAGTCTTCCATACTCTTTAACTGTATGTTGAACTTCTTAGCACCTGACCATCCACAGTACCAAGGTACAAGGGAACTTTTCTAGGTCTTGGACAGTGTCTAATGCTTAGTAAACTCCTTTCCCTCTTTTGGAGGGAGGGGCACCAGGAGAAACCAATTCTTTCTCTGGTTCAGTTAATCTTCTAAATACTGACTTTATTGCCCTTAGAGGATACAGCTATTGAACTTTACTCTTGGCTTTTGCTTTGTTCTGCTCTTTGTAGGGCCTGCCTGCTCTTGATCATGGTGTGAAAATGTCCTTGTAAAAGAATTCCAGCTTTTAGGTCATAGAGTTAAGGTTATACTCTTGTGATCTGAGAATCATCCTAAGAAATATTCTTTGTCTTGAATAGCGATCTGATGGTGAAGAGAAGACGTTAACAGGGGACGTGAAAACCAGTCCTCCACGCACTGCTCCAAAGAAACAGCTGCCTTCTATTCCCAAAAATGCTTTGCCCATAACTAAGCCTACATCTCCTGCCCCAGCAGCACAGTCAACAAATGGTACACATGCTTCTTACGGACCCTTCTACCTGGAATACTCTCTTCTTGCAGAATTGTAAGTTCTCAAGAAGTTATTTAAACATTTTGAATGATCCTTGAAGGCAAAGAATGTAATTTAGTCTGATGGATGCAGTAAATGGCAGTCATTTAATTTTAAAGCTCAACTCACACCTGCCCCCATTATCAGACATAAGGTACGTAGAGAACTGTGGAGGCGATTGCTTGTGACATGTATCTTCACCAAGACCTAGGGAGTTACATAAATATGCTTTCTTAAATACAAGGATTCATCTTTGGTGCTTGAGTAAATAAAGATTCATTTCCATGTCTGTTTTGGAGAGCAGGAGGAGGAAGAATCTAAGATTTATTAAGAACCTACAGTAGGCCAGGACCTTAATAACTTAAGTTTGGTCTTCCTTTTGAACTTTATATGAGGTGAGGAATTTACCTCCTGAAGAGGCTTTTGTAGGGGGCGGGCCAGCGGAAGGGTGGCATCTGTTCTTTCTTGGGTCAGACTTGTCCACCTTGTAGGAGGCATCTGGACAGACTGAACAGCAGCTGAGGAGATGATCTTAGCAGGGAGAGGTCAGGAAGCCAGACCTTAGGGGTCATCAGTTGGAGGAACCGGAGACATTGGCTTGGAGAAGAGAAAATTTAGCAAGTACTTACTAAAACTGTCTTCATCTGTTTGAAAGTCTGGCATTAGAAAAGGCAATTTGACTTATTATGTATGACCCCCCAGGGAAGAACTGGGTAATTACAGGAAAGTTAGAGAGATTTTGGGCGCCATGTTAAGTAAGAACCTGACTAGTTACAGAAGTCCAAAATTGGACTAAAGTTGCACAAATCTATAGTGTGCAACAAAGTGGGCACTTGTACAGAGGGCACCCATACAGAGGGCTTAGTAGTGATGTCACAGCACGGGGCTCAAAATCAAGTGAGTTTAGATGGCATTTGACTTGATCATTTGTTACACGGGCAGAAAATTTGGAGCTTTCTCAATAGCCATCATTTTAAATTTCCTTGGTATATGAAGTTATTTTAAAAGCATTCTTTACCCATCCCCCTCGGTGTACTTTTGTTGCAGTGGGCAGAGGGTCTGAGGCCCCAGTGTAACAGACTGGGTGTGATCTGGTAGCAGTGGCCCCTTCAGCTTTATAATCAAGGCCTTGTGTTTGAGGCCGGGCAGGGAGTTGGGACAGGCTTCTGTTGTCGTGGTTAAATCTGCTGTCTGTACTAGACCACAAAATTGCCTTTTCTGACAGCTCATGCTTGTAGATAATCTGCAAGCCATTGCTACTGCTGACGTGCTGAATTTTAGTGATTTAAAAGTGGAATAGATAACTACTTTTAAAAGGTTAAAAGTAAGCAAGTACTGTGGCCAATGGGTAGTAAAAACAATTGACGGTGGCTTAATAAGCTACTTCGGAATAAAATTCAAGATTGGCGGGTTAATGTGTTTTCAGGCTCTAGGGAGGCATTGTTCTCAAGGTCTGGTCACAGCCTTTAGGCTTACAGCTGCAGGGACCAGAGCAGACTGGCTGTCAGTGGGTAACTAGGTTCCAGAAACGCCAGTGAAGCCTTCCTGGTAGTGCTCTTGTCTTCAGCACCCACCATCTACCCCACCCCCAGCAGGGCCCGCAGAGTGCAAGGGTCGGAGTTTGGGGGCGACTTGGGAGCAGAGTACAGTGTGAGAGCCTCACATTGATGCCTGCCTTTAGCAGGCAACACTGCAAATCAAAACTGCCCTCTGCTGCACGGTCTGGTGATTCAAACTCGAAATGACACCTGAGTGAGGGCAGTGCTATGGAGTTTTTATTGAACTACCTAAAATGGCGTTTTAAAATGATTTCTGAATACGTGTGTGAAATCTTACCATCTCTAGTCACACAAGCAATGATAATTTTACAAACACGGACTTGACTTAAGTCATACTGTAGTACTCAGAACTACCTACGGACTGATTTCCAGGTGATGTTTTTGGGAAGCTGTGGTTTCTGAAGGAAAACCTGGTTCTTTGCGTAACCTTTGCGGATTCACTTTCTCAGTCTGGGGCCCTTTTTTGGCTCATGTCTCTCCTGTGAGAGCATGTTAGGAAGCCAGCGCCTGAGCAGCAGCCAGGCCAGTGCTCTCTCAGTGTGTCCAGTGACGTATTATGACAACTGGGCGTGTATGCCTGGGACATCAGCTACCTCTGGAGGGATCATTCCTTGTCTCAAAAAATGATCGTGGGGTGGTTGGCGCTAAGCGTGTGATTTACAGCCATACAAGTTAATTATCCTGCTGCTTCTATTTCAGTACCTTGGTTGTGAAGCAGAAGTTACCAGGCGTCTACGTGCAGCCATCCTATCGCTCTGCGCTAAGTAAGACAAAGACTCACTTTCAGTTTCTAGCCTGTATGGTTCCTCTGACACAAACTTAAACCTTCACCATTTTATTCTTTCCTACAGTGTGGTTTGGAGTAATCTTCATACGACATGGACTTTATCAAGATGGTGTGTTTAAGTTTACAGTTTACATCCCTGATAACTACCCGGATGGGGACTGCCCTGTAAGTAGGTGACAGGCCGGCTTAAAGAGCTTAGAGGTTTCCTAACACTTATGATTTCCGTTTTCCGAAGGCTTGTCTGCCCAATAGTCTTCCCAGGGAATTTTTGTGCTTTGCTGCATCTTCTGTCGGGCTGCCCTCTGCCTTTAGCTTTGTGTCTCTGCTCAAGGTGCACAAGTGAGGCTGGAAGCTATACTACAGCACTTCCTATGTGAATGGGGATCATGGTGCTCTAGGGGAGGAGACTGACTTCTTTCCTTTTCCATTGCAAAATTCAGTTTTACAGGAAAATGGTGAAAGTAGTTAAGTACCCCTCTGGAGGCAGCTCTTTGACTTTTAACAATATGTGACTGCCTTGTTCCCCTGAAGCTCCTTTTACGACTAGCTCTGTGGTCTAATAAGCTGTGTGTTTTCCTCCATTGCTTTCATTGAAGGATATGTCTCTTTTTAAATGTAGCGTTTGGTGTTTGATATTCCCGTCTTTCACCCGCTAGTTGATCCCACCTCAGGTGAACTGGATGTGAAGAGAGCATTTGCAAAATGGAGGTTAGTAAATAAGTGTTTTCTTCTAATGGTGTAAAACTGCAGGAGGAGCCTCAGTAATCATGCTTTTTCCACTTAGGCGGAACCATAATCATATCTGGCAAGTATTAATGTATGCAAGGAGAGTTTTCTACAAGATTGATACAGCCAGTCCCTTAAACCCAGAGGCTGCAGTACTGTACGTTACTTTTGTTTTGTGATTTAAGAAAAATTTGAAAATGCATCTAAGTAGATTAAATGGGTAACTTTTTTATTATTTAAACTTTAACACAGGTACGAAAAAGATGTTCAGCTTTTTAAAAGTAAAGTGGTTGACAGTGTTAAGGTGTGTACGGCTCGTCTGTTTGACCAACCTAAAATAGAGGACCCCTATGCAATTAGGTAAGTGGAGCATCATTCGATAAACCGCACCTTGCAGTACGGTGTCTTCATTTCCCCGGGGTCTTAGGATGGTGCTTTGAAAGGGATGTGTCTAATCTGTTAGTCTGCAACCCTTATAACTTGGTGTCACCTTGATTTCTGATGCCTGTTGGACTCTTAGATAAGAACTTTACTTTGTCGGACGCGTTGTGCCAACAGCAAGTTATGTGGTGCGTTTGGTTTCCTAAGGATCCCTGCGATGGCTCATCCAGTCCCATGTCAGGACGTTTCACTTGGCACTTTTAGCTGGAGCCCCTCTTGAACTGCCACACTGACATTCAGACATGGTGAAAGGACGGAGATGGAATAGTGTCTGAGGTGGTGGGTTCCTGCAGCACTGAGACTTACTCTTGGGGAAGAATACTGACATGATGGGTTGGTGATTTAGCTCTTCGGCAGCCCTGGCGCTGCAGGCAGGCAGCATAGCATAGGTTAGAGCACGGGTTCTATAGATCGACTGACTGACTGGCTTTTAGATTTGGTGACACAGCAGTTACTAAATTTTACTGTCCCTCATTTCATCATCTTTAAATAATACTGGGGATTGTGTGAGGCTTAAATGAGATAACCCATGTAAAGTCTTCTAGAAGGGGTAGTTAGGTGAGAAAATCATTCACATGTGACAACTGATTATGTAAAGATCACTCTTTAAAAGTATTATTCCTTAAGTTTTATTTGTTAGGGCAACTGGCTTAATTATTGAAAAAATAACGTTGAGTTAGCCAAAAGCAGTTTTTAATATTTTTCTCTCCGTTAAGCTTTTCTCCATGGAATCCTTCTGTACATGATGAAGCCAGAGAGAAGATGCTGACTCAGAAGGTAAGTGGATAACCGTTTCTGAGATGGTTAACTCACTGTTCCTTTTCTACAATGTCTTATTAGGAGACCACTCATTGTACACAGATAGCTTTTTGGGCAACAAGCCTGTACAGGGCTCAACTTCCATCATCGTGTTTTTAATGTCTGTTTTGATTGTGCCTAGAAGAAGCCTGAAGAGCAGCACAATAAAAGTGTTCATGTTGCTGGCCTGTCATGGGTAAAGCCTGGCTCAGTACAACCTTTCAGTAAAGAAGAGAAAACAGTAGCAACCTAAGAGGTGGTCAATCTGGTGCACCGTGCACTTTCCTGCTGGACTCTGGCCTAGTTAAACCTGACCAATGGCAAAGGACTGCCTGAAGAGTAAAACTGTGTGGACAGTGACTGAGATCAGTGTTTTCCATGTACGCTTAGGTTCGAACAGCAGGGTTTGGAAACTTGTCTTTAAGTAATGCATTACTTCTGTCAGAAGTGTCTTTAGGGTGTTATCTAGTTCAGTACTCCAAATTGTTGGGGACCTTGAGACTTAAATATTTTTCTGAACATAATGCTAAAGGTAAGTTGCATTCGTTTAAGCTAATACTAGAGTAGGCAGAGTTCAACACTACTTACTGGTTTTTAATCGGTGGTTTCAGGTGTACATATGTTAGGATGTGGAGAGAGCAAGTCCCATAGCTCAGCACTTTGAAATGCAGTCCCAGCCTACTGTCTTATTGATAAACTGCTGTCACTGAGGTACATAATAGTTGAGGGAGAGGAAAGCAGACACCTCGTGGTTTTTTTTAAAGCAGATTACTTATGTATTTTTATGGCGGGAGGGAGAAAAAGTGTTAAAACGGTTTCTAATGAAGTCAGATATTTAAATGATGAATGACTAATGTGTTTGGTAGAGACAAAATAAACTAATAAATGATTGTTCTTTGTCATTTATGCAGGAAACTAAACACCCTTCCCTCGATATAACTAAACAGATTAATTTATAAATGCTTTATTGAAAAATACACTTATTTTCATATAAAATTACAGTAGCAGTAAGTATCTTAAGAGCTTTCATAAATATTTCTGTAGAACACTATTCTAATTGAACAGTGTAAGGTCCATATTTCTTTCAGAGCAATATGAAGTTACCTAGTAACTCTGCTTATACTGATTCAATTTACAATTGAATTTTCTCCCTAATAAGACTATTAATTCAACTTTAAAACCGCTGGGAATAGGAGTGATTAATAAAGGTACAGCTGTTAAATAACATTTTCTAATTTGTATAAATGGTACTATGTACTAATGAAAACCTAAATTCTCCAATCTATTTTAACTGCCAGGAACATAGCCAAAAATATCTTAAAATACATCACCTTAATAGACACGTCTTTTGGATAACTACCTCCTAAAGGAAGCGTCATAATTTTTCACATTAATACCCTCAATTCAACTTGATTTAGAATCTTGACTTAGCCAGCTGATCCCTATATAACAGCAACAGAAACTGGAGAATTCAAAACACATGCCCAAAAGGTGGCTACTGGGGCTTTAACAGTAAACGTTTTTAAAAAAATAGAAAATGATCAAAGAAGGTATTGGATATTTAGCCTAGAAGTTCTGTACTTAATAAAATCCACATTGTAGAAAGTGCCATCGCAAATATACAGCAAAATCTGGGTTAAAAAAAAAAATCATGCTTTTTACAGCCCTAAAGTGCCACTTGCATACAAGTTCACTCACACATTGCACAACTGAACAATCAAGCACTTTTCACAATGCACCACACCTACTGGGAGAGAACCACACACGGGGAACGGGGGATGGGCTGATGGCCTAGGACTGCCGAAGCTGGGCTCTCTCCCCTGTTCTGTTTCAGGAATGCAAAAATCTCACACTCCTACAAAGTGATGGAGGATAAAATACCTAGTTTTTGTTTTGCTTTTTATGAGGACCAAAGCTGACCACAAAACAGGTAGGAATGAATTTGAAATACAGTGCCTCTGTTGAAAGCATGTCAATAGAAACTTGTAATACACGTATTTGAGCACACTTTGTTCTCTGCAATACTTGTGAAACCTTTGCCAAATAGTTAAAAATCTAGGTTTAGATTCTAAGCAGCCTTGATGGTAAGCATTGAATGGTAGAGGAAAAGACAGTTGGGATGAATAAAAGTATTCTGAGGATACTGGAAGAAATAAATTTGAAATCACACAAAAACTTCCCTTCAGGCTTCTAACAGGCACTGGTTGATTGGCTGTGTTAAGAAGAGAGCCTCATAATCTAGCGTGCACTAAATGCTGCTTCTAACCAGAGCTGGTGAAAAGACAGTTCCAATGCAAGAAACTAACCTCAGTGGGAACCTCGGTCATTAGCTACATCTTGGAGGCGGCGTAATAAGGCAGAATGATTTTCTGGGCAGATTCTTTTTGCAGGTGATTCACTTCCATCTTCCAAAAGAATCCCTCTCTTTTTGGTTGGAGTTTCTCCTGTCCGTATCATACTATTAATTTCTCTCAGTCTCTATAGTGGGGGAAAACAACAGATACAAACACTTTAAAATGCTAATGCACATTAAGTCAGATTATCTCAAATGAGTCAAACAGTTTACCTTGAACATGAACACCTTGTACAGAGAATAGAACTACTAAAAGATTACACCCTGCTAACAACATTTCTTAGCTGGTGAGACTGACTATCTGGGGTGGGGGCAGAATATTTCTATTTTTAACAAGCTCCATAGGTGATTTCGATCTACACATTTCCACAAGGTGGAAGAGTTCACGAATTTGTGATTTTTAAAATAATAGTTACAGAGCATCATGTTACTTTGCCATATTTAATCACTTCCTTATATGTCCATTTTTTTAAAATAAAAAGCATTCAGCATAAAGCATACAGCATTGTGCCCCCTCCCCCCTTTTTTCAGTCTAGTGTTACTCAATTTTCAGCAGCCATTCTCAACTGGGATTTCACAGAGAAGTAAGCCTTAGTTCCCTAAGGTGTCCATGATCTAGAATGGTGCTAATTAGTATGATCTAGAATGGTACAAGTTACATATCATTCTTGGGAGAACTGAAAAAAAGTTATGCAAATTATCATCTGTGTTCTGTGGTTCAGATGAGGAACCCCGACAAAGAAGGGCATTGCCAAAGTGCTAGAGAGACTGGTCCTACTGCAGTGCCTTCAGCATTACGTTTCTCCAAAGCCCTAAATGTCCGTTCCCGTATTATTTTCTGGTAGCTTATTGGTTTAAAGTATATATTTTATTTTTGTTCATTGTTGTAGTTTAAATGAAGTTTACATTTCAAGTTAGTCTCTCATACAAAAATTTATACATATATTGCTATGTGACCCCAATTACTCTCCCCATACTGTGACAGCACACTTCTTTCCACTCCTGATTCCCCATGTCCATTCAACCAGCTCCTAACCCTCTGCCTTCCCATCTCACCTCCGTACAGAAGCTGCCCATTTAGTCTCTTGTATCTGCTTGAGCTAAGAGGCACACTCATGAGTATCACTTTATGTCCCACAGTCCAGTCCAATCTGTCTGAAGAGTTGGCCTCGGAAATTGTTTTAGTTCTGGGCTGATAGAGAATCCAGGGGCCATGCTTTCCGAGGTTCCTCCAGTCTCATTCAGACCATTAAGTCTGGTCTTCTTACTAGAATTTGAGTTCTGCACCCCACCTTTCTCCTGCTCTATCAGGGACTCTCTGTTGTGTTCCCTGTCAGGGCAGTCATTGGTGGTAGCCGGGCACCATCTAGTTCTTCTGGTCTCAGGCTGATGAAGTCTCTGGTTTATGTGGTCCTTTAGTCTCTTGAGCTAATATTTTCCTTGTGTCTTTTGGTGCTCTTCATTCTGCTTTGCTCCAGGTCGGTTGGGGCCAATTGATGCATCTTAGATGGCTGCTCGATAGCTTTTAAGACCCCAGATGCCACTCACCAAAATGGGATGCAGAACATTTTCTTAATAAGCTCTGTTATGCCGTTTGACCTAGATGTCCCCTGAAAGCATGGTCCCCAGACCCCTACCCCTCCTACTCTGTCCCTCAAAGTGTTAGATTGTATTCAGGAAACTTCTTAGCTTTGGTTTAGTCCAATTGTGCTGGCTTCCCCTGTAGTGGGTGCTGTCCTTCCCTTCATCTAAGACAATTCTTATCTACTATCTACTTAGTGAATAACCCTCACGCTCCCTTCCTCACCCTCGTAACCATCAAAGAATGTTTTCTTCTGTGTTTAAACCTTTTATTGAGTTCTTATAGTAGTGGTCTTGTACAGTATCTGTCCTGTGACTGACTAAATTCACTCAGCATAATGCCCTCCAGATTCCTCAATGTTATGTTTCTTGGCTTCATCATTGTTCTTTATTGTTGCGTAGTATTCCATTGTGTGGATATACCATAATTTGTTTATGCATTCATCTGTTGATGGGCATCTAGGTTGTTTCCATCTTTTTGCTGTTGTAAACAGTGCTGCAGTGGACACGGGTGTGCGTATATCTATTCGTGTGACGGCTCTTATTTCTCTAGGATATATTCCAAGGAGCGAGATAGCTGGATTGTATGGTACTTATATTTCTAGCTTTTTAAGGAAGCGCCACATCAACTTCCAAAGTGGTTGTACCATTTTACACTCCCACCTACACTGTATAAGTGTTCTAGTCTCTCCACAACCTCTCAGCACTTATTTTGTGTTTTTGGATTAATGCTAGCCTTGTTGGGGTGAGATGATATCTCATTATAGTTTTGATCTACATTTCTCTAATGACTAATGACTGTGAGCATTTCTTCATGTGTCGTGTCTGTTAGCCACCTGAATATCTTCTTTGGTGAGGTGCCTGTTCATATCCTTTGCCCATTTCTTAATTGGGTTATTTGTCTTTTTGTTGTTGAGGTTTTGCAGTATCTTGTAGATTTTAGAGATTAGACGCTGATCGGATTTGTCGTAGTCAAAAATTTTTTCCCAGTCTGTAGGTTGTCTTTTTACTCTTTTGGTGAAGTCTTTTGATGAGCGTAAGTGTTTGATTTTTAGGAGCTCCCGGTTATCTAGTCTCTCTTGTGGTGCTTGTGTATTCGTACTTAAGGTTCATATTGTGTTTAAGGTTCGTATTGTGTTTATGCCATGTATTAGGGCTCTTAACATTGTCCCTATTTTTTCTTCCATGATCTTTATCATTTTTGATTTTATATTTAAGTCTTTGATCCATTTTTAGTTATTTTTTGTGCATGATGTGAGGTATGGGTCTTGTTTCAGTTTTTTTCCGATAAAGTATTTTTTAATGTGATGCTTCACTGTCCATGTTTCCTTATGGATAGTATAATAAGCATATTCACATACATTCATTATAGAAAACAGCAAATGCACAAAAGTAGAAAGAGGAGTAGTGAATCCTCGCATACCTATCACCGCACAATTATCCACTCTTGCCAGTCTTATGTGACCTATAACCCATTCATTTTTTAGCGTATTAGTTCTGCATGTTTTGACACATACATACAGTCATTAACAATCACACTACTCTTCCTTCACTCCAAAAAAATCCCCTATTCCCCCTTATAGTTAGCCCACCCCCAAGCAACCAGTGATGGTTCAGGTCCCTATAGTGGCACCTCTTCCAGAATGTCATAGAAATGGAATCGTGGTAAGTAGCCTGTTGAATCTAGTGTCTCTCACTTAAGTGTTAATGGCTTTGAGATTTATCTGTGTTGTTCAGTGTATCAGTCTTGTTAGGTGCCACCGAGTCAATTCCAATTCATAGCAACCCCATATAACAGAGTAGAATTGCCCTATAGTGTTTTCTAGCTGTAGTCTTTCCAGGAGCAGACTACTAGGCCTTTCTCCAGTGGCCATGGAGCCATTAGGTGGATTGGAACGGCCAGCCTTTTGCTTAGCAGCTGAGTGCTTAACTGTTGCACCACCAGGGCTCCTTTAGTGTATCAGTAGTCATCCATTGTCTGGATGTCCCACAGGTTTGCTTATTCATTCACTAGTTGCAGGATATTTGGGTTGTTTTCCACTTACTGGCAATTAGGAATAAAGCTGGTATAAATGTTCATGTACATGTTTCCATGTGAACGTAAGTTTCATTTCACTTGGGTGAATACACAGGAGTGTGATTACTGGTTGTATGGTAAGGGTATGTTTAACTGTACAAGGAACTGCCAAACTGTTTTCCACAGTGGCTATACCATTTTGCATTCTCATGAACAATGTATAAAAGTTTCAGTTGCTCTACATTGTTGCCAGAACTTACTATCTTCAACAAATTGTTAGCTGGACTAACAAGGATGTAATATGTCAAGTGTGTTCAAATCTTTGCCCTTTTTAAATGTGGTTATCTTCCAATTGAGTTTTGGTAATTCTTTATATATTATAGATACAAATCCTTTATCAGATATGGGATTTGCAAACACTTAGTGACTTGTCTTTTAAAGAGCAAAATTCTAAATTTTGATAACATCTAATAACTTTTTAATCATTTCTTACATGGATCATCTTTTAATACTGTATCTAAAGTCTACCTAACCCATGATCACAAAGATTTCCTCCCACATGTTCTTAGTTTTAGGTTTT